GGCAAAAACAAAAGTTTTTTTTTTAACGTCAGGCAATATAAGTAGCGGAACTGCCACCCGTGGCCAGTTATTAAGAAGGCTGCTCCAACAATAATTTTAGCTTGCTAATGCGCATTGTTTTGCTGCAAGGAAAAGTGTCACCTGGGAGACAGTTCACTAGCAGGAGCGACATAACGTTCCAAACATGTTCTGGCCATTTAAACTGGTATGTCGGTATTCAAATTCTCATAATAACAAAAAACAAAAACAAAAACAAACAAAAACAAAAACGGTTTTGGGTATGAACTGGTACACCGCCCAGCACCCAAATAAAGATGGCTGCCACAGCTAGTCAACCTCAGCCAACATTAAAATGGCCATAACGCAGCCAGTTTTACAAATATTGAGCTAAAATGATTTCCTGAATGCCAACATGAGATCTTACAATTATGCATGAGACTTACAAGGTTTAACTAGAACTGCTCTTCCCAGCATTAAATAATTTTAGTTCAACACTCTGGCATGAAAGGCAGCAGTCGATGCGTGTTCCTTCCTCTTAGTCACACATGCTTTTATCTCTAATAAAGGAGGACTTTTATACATCATGACAAACTAAACCAGCAAATAACATCACTTTGGATAGACCCAGAATTTTATTGTCAGAAACCCATTTAAGCGTCCCTGTTTGAAACCCCTGAAGTGAGGTTACATAAGTTTAACAGAGGGGAAAATGTAATTACTTAATCCAGAGTGCCTTGGCCATTGAGCGGCCGAGTGCAAGAAACATCAAATGGTGCTGGTTCTAGATTCACAGAACATGGAAGTGTGAAAAACAACAAGCTAGAAACCCTGCTATTATAGAAAAGTGCAAAAACACAGCAGAACACTTCACATGTCATAAATCTGTCATACAGACAGAAGCTGTCTTTTTTTCTACAAAGCAGCCTGCATCTTAGCAAGAGTGGTGTTTTTGCTATGAAACTCTTACTCTTTGCTAAAGCTTTGATACAGGATTACACTGCTGGTCTTCATGCATTTCAAAGATGAGTCTTCTTTCATTTTGGTCTTTTCATGTATTACACTGTTAATGTTGTATTTCCAGCACCAGGGCATATATATAT